GGGCCCTGCAGGCTCTGGCCACACACGTGGTGGTGTTTCTCCCAGTCCTTGTGCTGGCAGAAGGAGCCGCAGTAGCGCGCAGCGTTGCAGCCGCTGCACGTCTCGCTGGCCTTGCGCCCGCAGTTCCAGCAGCTCTGTGGGGGCCGGGGGGTTAGGGTTCTTCGAGGAGGGGGCACTCCGCATGGCCACCCCAAACCCCCACAGCAGCCTTGCACAGCGCATGGCAACACTGCCGCTTGTGGGCTGGTGCCGGGATGGTCCTGGGCAGGCCGGGACAACTGTGGGGCACCAGTGTGGACAGAGCCCGGCCTGGCCCAAGAGTCACAGCCTTTGTGGCAACCTGGCCTCGGGAGCCTGGGGCCACCGCCTCCCGTCCCCTCACACTGCTCAGCTACCCAGCATGCCCAGGGCGATCTGGGCTGTCACTGGCCACAGAGGGGCTCCTTGACCTCCATTTGCACCTCTGGAAATACTCAGTGCCACTCCTCTGTGTTTCAGGTTTTCTTTCTTTTTTTCTGTATTGGAGATTGGTCCCAAGGCCTTGAACCTGCCGCTACCCTTGAGTTGCATCCTCAGCCCTGTTTGTACTTTTTTGTTTTGAGATAGAGTCTCGCTAAGTTTCCTGGGCTGGCCTTGAACTTTAGATCCTCCTGGCTCTGCCTCCAAGTAGCTGGAAGGACAGGTGTGTGCCAACATGCCTGGCTGTGTCAGTCCTTTCTCTGCCCACCCAGATTTTTGTTCTCTGTCTAGCCTGCTCCCCCACAGCCAAATGTGGCTGGCAGAGCTGTGTGGAGCAGACGCTGAAGATCCCACTCTGCCCGGGGAGCCCACCCAGGTCCCCAACGGGTAACCCTTGCCTGAGCCTGGCCCCTCCCTCACATCTGTATCAGTATCCCATGCCCAGATGCCCTGGGCCACCCTCGTACCGGCTTCTGTGGCTGAGGCAGGTGGCAGGAGCAGAGTGCAGGTGTGGGCATGGCCGGCGTCTTACCTCACTAGAGTCCTCCTGCTGGTTTATGACGGTCAGGGCATCCTCGGAGGCCTGGCGCTTGGCCTCAGCCAGGGCCCGCTCCATCTTGGCACGCTCCGTGGTGATGAGCTCATGGGCTTTGCGCTCTGCGTCTGCCACGGCTTTCTGCAGCTCCGACATCGCCTGACGCTTCACCTCGTTCACAGCTTCCTCTGCAAAGCACGACGGGGCGACGTTCACAGGGCCCAGCTTCAAGCTCCTTGGGCCTCCCATGGCTGGGTGGGGCCTGCAGCTGTGGCACACGTGTGTGCACACTCAGGCACATGGAGACCTCAGCCTGTGTACACACGGGTGTGCAGGCGAGTGTGTCCTGAGCACGCGTGTGCATGGGACCTTCCAAAGCCATTCCACCAGGGCCTCCTGGAGGTTTGACCAGCAGACTGCATGCCCAGGGTGTGGAGCTCTGTAGGGCTGGAGGCTGCCCATGCATGGCCCTGCCCTACACGGCTCCCTGGAGTGTGTGCTGCCATCTGTGCTGTTCCTGGGAGCCAGAGGGGCCTGGTTCTATCTCCACTGGGTCGGCAGGGACTCTGAGGCCCCTCAGAACCCCCACGCACACCACCCAGATCTGTTCCCCTGCCAGCATCCAGGCGGATCCACTCCAGCCCTCCGTGAGTTCTTGCCAAACTACATCCCAGGTTGCTGAGGCCTGCTTCAGTTTACCTGGCAGCACTGTCCTCGAGAACTGGCCCCTGGGAGGCAGTAGGACTCCCGTGCAGGGTTCTGAGACACCCCTGGGTCTCCCCTCTCAATGTCTGCATCCTGGGGGTACTGAGCCCCTTAGCAAGGCCCAGCACCCCCATCCCAGGCAGGTGGGACCCTATCAAGTGCGGCTCCACATACACAGCAGCACAGGCCTTGCGAGGTGAGGGGACACGGACAGGGCCACTGTGTGAGGACGGCCGTCCCATGCCCAGCCTGGGCCCATGCCCGGCCCTGCCTGCTGTCCCTTGCCTCCACCTTCTCTCCACTTTCAAGCTTCGGGACTCCCCTTTCCCTCACTTCTCCACGAAGCTACCAAAGTTGAAACACCTGTCCCACCTGTCCCTGCCACTGCCTCCAACAGGTAACTCATCAGCCTGTGGCGCTCAGGTCCCCTCTGGCCCACGTGCTCCCAACTGTGCCAGCAAACAGATGAAGCTCTCCCCACCACTGAGGCGCTCCAGCTCTCTGCCCGGCTACCTGGCCTTCAGGTCCATTGTGACCTCTGGCACAAGCGCCACAGCCGCAGGTGCGGATGTAGCCGAGCCTGGGACAGGTGGGAGGGAGCCCTTCCTGTCCACACTGTCCAGGGCCAGCTGCCCCTTGGGGTCTGTCCTGGCTACTCACCAGCCTTCCTCCAGATCTCCTCGGGCATGCAGCCGGACAGCGCCCTGGGTGTGAGCTCGCGGTGCAGGTCTGAAACGGGACAGCTAGGGTCAGGCCATCTGCTCACCTTGGGCTCCCTGGGTCGGGGGAGACTGTGGGGCCCTGCTTTCCGTGGGGGTCTCCGGGGACCATGGGTGGAGACTGGCACCCAGCCAGGGCAGGGAGGGGCAGCTCTGGAGCCTAGGACCCGAGTACAGGCCGGGAGGTTGGCGCCTCCTGGCCCCCTGGATCCCGCATTCACTTGGGCTGGACGACCACAGACCTGGGCCTGGGTTCCCAGCTGGTCAGGTGGAGTCTTGTGAAAGAAAGAGTTTTCTTTTGGTTTGAATTCTACTGTGTGACAGTGCTCTAGGAATCAGGCCCTCCCCAGCAGCTCCCTACCAATATTCCCTCCATGGTCCCTCTGTGGCGCCCTCGGCCCTTGTCCTCCCCAGTGCGCACCAAGCTGGAAGCCCTCGGGGCCAGCAGAGCTGCTGAGGGGCCGGGCGGGCACTGGGCCCTTTTTCACATCCTCAGCATCACTGTAGCGCCGGATCCAGTGGTTGAGCTCTTCGCGGTCAGCCTCCTGGCACCGGCGCAGCACTGTGAGCGAGCGCCGTGTCTTCTCCACCATGTCCATGATGCAGTTCAGGAGCTGTGGGCGACAGTGTGGCCATCAGCATGGGAGCCGGGCCCACAGGCACCTAGAGTCCTGCAGGGGGGGCCAGGGTGCAGTGGGCAGTCCAGGCTGCTGGAGAGTAGCAGGCCCTGGCTGGCATGAAACTCAGGCAGAGCAGAGAGAAGGGACAGGCCCTGCTCCCTGGGAAGGCAGCCGGCAGGGTGACGGATGTCAGTGGCCCTGTGAACCAGAAGACTGGGGGGCCTGAGGCTTGTGGCTGCCTACTCCGCCTAAACTGGGGCCACACAGGGCACAGGAAATGCTTCCAAGTGTCTCTGTCCTGGAAAAGCCACTGAGCATTAAGTGGAGAAGGGCAGCCGGCCTGCCTGATGGCCCCAGTCCTTCCCGTCGCCCTTGGTGCCTGGACAGGCCTGGGGACAGAGCAAGGGTGCATGCGCAGGGCCCTGGGTGGAGGCAGACCAGGCGCTGAGCCGGAGGAGCCCACACGGGGTGCCCATGGGAGGCACACCAGGGAGACACTCACATTGTTGAGGTGTTTCCACTCTTCTGCCCACTCTCGCTCTGTGAGCCTGTGGTCGATCACTTCCTCCTGCCGGGACCCAGGCACTGCTGCAAGGGGTGGTGCAGGCTCAGCCCCTGCTTCCTGGTTCCCCTGCCCCCCAAGCTTCACTCCCCAGAGGCTCCACCCCTGGGCCGTGCCCACCTTGGGAAATGGGGGTGCAGGGGATCCTGGGTACTAGCCTTCTGCCTGCTGGCCCAGGGGCTCAGGACCCTGCCCAACACTTGGAAAGAAGAGACAAACCTGTTCCCATCCCTGGTTCTAGCCTTGGCCACCCCTGCCCTGCCACCTCACTGCCAAACCCTGCCCTTCTTTCTGCCTCCAGACCTCTCCTTGAGGGTCTCAGCAACCCTCAGCAGCCTCAGGGCCTTGTGGGCTGCCTGGCTCCTCTCTTAGAACCTCCCCTCAACCATCTGTATTCTTATGCATGCCTCAAAACCCCAATCACAAGCCCCTTCACAGCAGTGGAATCCTGAGTCCCTGGCCCATATGCAGGGGCCCCTGTCTTGCTCCAGGTGCTCCCACCAGGCTGTGACAGCTTTTAGGCAGGCAGAACCCCACTCACCTGTCACCCCAAGCTCTGCCCAGGTGTCTGCCTGCTGGCCGTGGGGAGCAGGCCAGTGTGGCCTTGGCCCAGCTCCGAAGGCAGGCATGGTCAGGGCCAGAGTGAAGGTCCTTACTCCCTGTGGGGTCTGCATCTGCCATGGTGCCTCAGTTTCCCTACCCTGCCTGGCTCCTGTGCAGACCGACTCAGGTCACACTCAGGGAAGTGCTCTGGGAGAGGCCCATGCACTTGGAGCCTGCCCTTGCCCCGCTGTAGCCGGGGCACCTGTCAGGTCCCATCTCAGATGAGGACCTTGAGGCTGCTGGGCCGCATCTGCCTGGGGTGGCAGCAGGGTGTGGCCTGGTGGGGGGGACCTGGGCGGTGCCCCCACTGGCTGCCCCGAATGCCCCATGTCTGAAGCCTTCCCTGGGAGCTGACTTCCTGGAGCTCAGGCCTCTTTCTGGGCTGCCTGCCATCCTGAAAGTACTGAGGCCCCAGACCCAAAATTCAGCAGGGCCACAGCTGCTGCCACTGCCTCCCTACCTCTGCTAAGCTGGGTCCCGATGGATTGCCCAACCAAGACAGTGGCTGAGATCTCCCAACAGCCGGCGTTTATTTTTGTGTTAGCAGAATCGGGTGGGAATTAGCACCTGCCTGACCCGGCTGTGGCCAGCAGCCACTGTCACCTGCTGCCTGGGCCCTGGCCTGGACGTTCCTGCAGATGGGGGCGGGGTGACCTGCCCTGGGCAGCGGGGTGCCCTGGGCAGTGCAGAGTTGGCAGGTTCCAGGCTCTCCTCCCTGGGGCCTCCTGGAGCAGCCCAGAGGGGGCAGCAGGCAGGGTGGCTCCTTCTGCAGGGGCGTGGGGTGGAGGGCCCGGCCCGTCAGCCCAGTATCCGCACCAGCGGCTGGCACTGTGACTGGGCCAGTTCCACATTCACGCCCCTGGGTCCTCACATGACCTCTGTTCCTTGAGTAACCTTGGTGGAAACCGAGGCATAAAGGGGCCATGTGACTTGAACAGGGGCCAGTGCACATGTAGCAACCCAGGGCTGATGCAGGTGTCCCCGTCCCCAAACACTGCTCACCGAGCTGCCGATGACGCTCCCGCAGCTCCCGGGCGTCGGGGGGTCGGTAGGGGTCGCGGACGTGGTGGGCCATGGCCATGTCCTCCAGGCGGTAGTGTGGGGGCGGCAAGGGGTGCGGCAGCCCGTTGCTGGGGCTGTAGCGCTGGGCGGGGCTCAGGGTGCACGACCGTTTGCTGAGGTGCTCAGGGTGTGGAGGGTCACCGTCTGATCCATTCTCTTTGGTCCTGGCCCAGAGATCAGGAGGGACAGTGGTCACAGCCGCCAGCCATGCACAGAGGCCCGCGGTGGGAAGGACTCAGGGATTCCGGCCATGCAAGGCACCATCTCCTCGACACCCTGTGGGCACCCTGCTGGGGGCTGGGAGGGGAGATGCCGAGGGCCTTGGAGCAGCTGCCACTCCCTGGGCAGCAGGGTCAGTGAGGGTACAGCTCCTCTGAGGCTGGCAGAGGGGCCCAGTCCAGGCACCGGGCAGCCTGGCCTTTATGGACTAACCCAGGGGTTCCTAGGTCAGCCTGGACTGTCTGACCACCGGCTGGGCGAGCACGGGCGCCACAAGACACAGCGGTATCTACGGTGGTCACTCAGCCCCACCGTGGGGCGCGGGCGCCCCTCCTGCCAGCAGAGCGGGGCAGTACCTGTCAGGTGTCCGCCTCTTGCCGTTCTCGTTCACCTCTAGCAGGAGCTCGGAGGAGTCGCCAGGGGCGGTGGTGCTGGTGTCTAGCAGTGTCTGCTCATGCTGGGCCAGGTACTGGGCAGGTGTCTGCTTGGCCAGGCGCGCACAGTGCAGCAGCTCGCGCTGTAGCAAGGGCAAGTTGGCCTAGGAGGGGCACACAGCTGGGCCTGAGCACGGAGAGCTTGGGCCAGTGACCGCCCCACTCTGGGCCTCGGCCCTGGGCCCCCAGCCTGCCTCCCCAGAAACCTTGCTGCTTCTTTGAGGTGCTCGGGAAGCCAATGGGACAGCATTGGGGTCTGAGACCACAATCTGGACCCTGTCACCATGTTTTCCCCAGGCAGGCCCACGCAGTCCTTGGAACAGAGGACAGCTCAAGGCTCAGAGAGGGGAAGGAACCAGCCCCAAGCACACAGTGAATGGAAACAGGCATGGGGAATAGCAGTAGAAGCCTGACTTGTAGACTCTGCTCTGGTTCCTGGGAAGTGCTGAGGGATGCAGGGCCCATCCTCCAGCTGGCCTCCTGCTGCCCAGGAAAGCCTGGAGCCAGAAGGACGCCTAGGCTCTGTGGGCCACCAGGCACAGCACAGACTCGGCCTGAGGTTTTCTGGTAAGGGCACTGGGGCCTCACACACTGTGTCCCCAACCACCACCTCCAGCTTGGCCTCCCTGTGCACGGCTGGGCTTCCCAGAGCTGCATGGGGAGGGGGGTCAGGCTGGGCCCAAACTGCTGGACCAGAGCCCAGCGGAGGCCACTTGGGAGAGCCAGCAGTTCCAAGTATTTGTAAATAAATGCTGTTCCCTTCTTTCTCATGCACTTCAAAGCTGCTGGCAGCTTCCCACCTCTGCCTCCCAGCCCCCATGTCGCGTCCACCCAGCCTGATATGTTTCCATCAGGCAGTGCCGGCTGCCAGGCCTGTTTTCCTGTCTGGATAGCTGAACAAGGGCCAGCTGCCATCTGCCCAATGCTTACGGAGCAAGAGCTGGGAATCAGGTCCTGGGAGGTCCCAGGAGCCTGGTGTCCCCTCCCTGGCCAGCAGAGCAAGGAGGGACAGCCCCAGCTCTGGCTGGTCGCTACATGTGTGGGCTGGGAACATCTGGATTCTCGGCCACTGGGCCAACTGGGAGCCGGGGCTGCAGCAGGTGGGCTTGTCCCAGTGTCTGGGAAGCCAGGATGCGGCCAGCACGGTGGCCAGGACAGGGCAGTGGGGACCAGGACAAGCAGTACCCTCTGCATGGTCCAGAAATGCAACGGCCTTGATGAGGACAGTCCACCCAGCCCGGAACAGGGGACTGCGACCCATTCTGTCCCCGGGAGCACGGGACATCGGCCACGGAGCACCTGGGCCTGACGCCACCCCCGTGTGGAGGCTCACCCCGGGAGCACGGGCATTCGCAGAACAGCCACGAGGACCAGAGCCCCACATCCACAACAGCTTGGCTCTGCTGAGCACCTGGCTGGGCCACCTGGGGCTGTGCCGCTGGGCAGCTCATGCTCCCGACTCTGCCTCACACGCAGCCTGTCTGTGATGGCCCCGTCTGAGCTCTGGGTACCAGGCAGTCGCCTCACTGGGGTACGGGAGGACAAACGAGCGGGCTGGGATGTGAGAGCCCAGCCCTGTGGGAGCCATGGTGAGCGGAGGGAAACTGAGGCCAGGAGGCCAGGCAGGGCCAGGCCTGCTGTAGGGAGCTGTGGGGCTGGAGTGGCCCTGGCACTGGCTGGGGGTCCTGCCCCATCTCGATCGCAGCCACCACTGGGTTCCTGCTGCCAACATAGGGTCCAACAGAGATGGAGCAACGCGGCCCCTGAGGGAAGAGGGGGCATGAGCTGGCAGCTGAGGGGCGACGGAGGCCCTGCCTGTCCCTGTGACTCAGTGGTGGTGCCCAGTCCCTCTTTGTTCCTCATCTAGGGTACATGCTGACTCCCCAGCAACGCCTCACCAGTGCTGCACCCCACACATGCCCTCCCAGAGCCCGAGGGTCCACTTCATAGCAGCAGAGGCTGAGCATAGAGCCACAGGGCCGACATCTGCTCCAGCCTGACCTGGGGACCCCTGGAAGAAGCCCTGTACCAGGCAGTCTTTTTTTTTTTCTCTTGGTACTAGGGATTGAGCTCAGGACCTCACACTTGCCAGGCAAGCACTGTGCTGCTGAGCTACATCCCTGGCCCCAGAGTCTTCTTCAGACAGCTCTTCACCCATCCCTTGGCCCGGCCGTGTGCCCGCCTGCCTGTCCGCTGCCCACCGCCCCACTCACTCGGCTCCAGGGCCTTGGCATGTGCTGCTCTCTGTCCCAGGCACCCCCTACCCTCCCTGGACCTCAGCCCCATGCAGCGTCCCCTCCTCTGGGGGCCTCTGCTACATTTCTCCCCTGCTCATGGTTCCAGTTTCCACAGCAATGACCATGCTGCGGTCAGGTTGCTGCCTCCATTTGCAGCCATGCCCCCCAAGCCTCAGCTCCTGGCACCCAGTGGTGCTCGGGGTGCTGCTGCGTGGATGGGCATCTGTGGTTGTCGAGGACACAGAGCTGAACCCAGAGCTCTGGCTTGTTGCTATTTGGCCATGACTAGTTTGCAGCCTTAACTAGTAGGAATTGGCCCTGAATGGTCAGCACTGTCCCTCCCAGGTCCAACACACAGTCAGATGCTGCTGGGGCTGGGGCTGGGGGCCCACGCTACCTTCAGGAAAGGGATGACAAACGGCCGCAGAGGGAAGTTGGTGGCCTCCTGCAGCTTGGCGTGGAACTCCTCGATCGTCAGCGTCGAGTTCTGGGGAGGAAGCGCCTGTGTGAGTGGCGGCCGCTGCCCCCCACATCCTGACAGGGGGCCCAGCCAGGGTGAGGGGCTCTGCGCGTGTGTGTGCACACATTCACTCACCACCAGCCCCAGCACGAGCATGCGCACACGCTCCCCGATCTCTGGAGAGATGTCGCTGCCAAACTGCTGCAGGGTGCTGAGGAAGCGCTTCAGCTTGCTGAGCTGTCGGGCCCCACAGGCCGGGGGCAGGTGCTGCGTGGACAGCGCAGCTGAGCACGACATGGCCGGGCCGTTGCTGAAACCGTTGGGTGTGGACGGGGCGCCGTGCACGGCTGTGGGCGAGTGGCTGCCGCCGTTCATCACTGTGGGGGGGGGGGGGGTGGCACGGTGGTGACGGGAGAGGCCATGCCCAGCAGGCAGCAGACAGCGACGGAGTCACAGCAGGTCCTGGGCTGTGCCATATGCACTGTGCCCATCGTTGTGAGGTCCTTGCAGCCATTCAGGGGCCAAGCGGCACCTTCATGCTACAGGAACTGCATGGGGATACAGCCCGCACCCAGGGTCCAGGGGAGGCCCCAGAGTGACAGCATCTGGTCAGGCCCCACGCACAGGTCCCAGCTCCCTGTCACTTCTTCCTGGGGTGGGGACGAGGAGCCACTCACCGCCGCCCGGGAACCAGCAGCCCTGGCTGTGTGGCCGCCTGGTCCCATCTCTCCACTCAGACACCCTCCACATCTTGAGCAGGGCCATCGCCTGCAGGCTGGGTCCTGCCCAGGGCCGCTGGATGTGCAGAGGTGTGTGACCCGCCCCGGGCTGGGTGTGCCGGGGACAGGCAGGGACAGCTGATGTGCACATGGTGGGCAGCACTGTCCATCTCTGAGATGAGGTGCTGGTTGGCCCCACTGTCAGGTCAGCATCCCCGGGCCCTGGTGGACACTGGGCTGTGGCGATGCCACCCCGGCAAGTCCTTACCCACCCCAGTAATGTGGCAGAGGCTGCGGTGGGAGTGGACAGTCCCACGCTTGTGTCCACACCCTGTGCAGGACTTGGGAGCCTACAGCCAGCTCCAGGGCCACAGACCACAAATGCATACGCAGACACACATGCGCACACAAAGGCACACACGCACCTCCCATGCTCCTGCCCCTGGTCTTGTCCCGGCCTGGTATGCTGCCTCTGCATTCTCACCCAAGCTGGGAGTGCAGGCCGGGGCATGGGCGATCAGGGCCAGGTTCCTGGAGGCTTGGCCCCCTCTGCCCTCTGTGTCGAGGCCTGGTGGGGCCTGTGGGTGCCAAGGGGGCAAGGAGCCAGGTGCAGTGGGTCCTGCTGAGCCGCCTCAGGCCTCCGCTACTTCCTGCGATGCTTGGACCCTTGGGGTCTCAGGCTGCTCCTGCCCTTCTGTGCTGACCTGGGCCTGGGCGTGAGCTCTGCTGACTTCTCATTGGGTCTGGTCACCCCTCGGCCACCCTGCAGGCCCAGGGAAGGAACCTCCTTCCACGTGGCCAGCCCATACCTAGGCTGTTTTGCTGCCTGTGGTCCTGTGACTGGCTCAGCTCAGACACAGGCTCTGGCAGGCGAGCTTTTAAGTGCGCCGGGCTGGCACATCCGCACCAACCTGCTTGAAACCTGTGGGCAGGCTGGGCACAGGGGCCAGGAGAGACCCAAGTAGCCCCCACTCCACGTTGACCCACTGCCCAGGGCACAGGTGCCAGGCAGGACCCTGGCCAGGGGATGCTCTCAGGGAGCCGGGTGGGTGTGCGCTCCCTGTCCTCACTTGGCCGTCACCCTCAAGTGCCCCATGTGTTAGGGTGGGGGCACATAGGGCCTTGCTTCAGCTTCCTCATCTGCAGTACACCTGGAGCTCTGGGGACTCCAGAGCACAGCCAGGGAGGCCCTGTGTGCTCCTCAGTTCCTTCCATTTGGAGCCTGCCCCGTCCACCTCCCCTGGAAGGCATCCCGGGCTTCCCCATGACTGGCCAGCATGCCCATGCCGTGAGGATGCTCGTGGCTGAGACCTGAGCACTGCACCTGCCCTGCAGGGCTGCAGTACTGGGTGGTGCTGCCATGGGCACACATGGGTTGGACCTGCCTGCCGCTCTGGCCTGGTGACCCAGGAGCTCCTTCAAGGCTTAAAACAGATAGTGGTTCTGGCCCAGGGCCATGTGTGAAGGACGGGCCTCTGAGGGCACTGGGCTATGTCCCTCTCACCTCGGGATGCTGGGATCCCCCAAGAGCTTCCAGACCCTGCTGTGGCCAGTTTTCCCTCTCACAGGTGAGCTCTGACCCCACAGAAGCCACTGACTCACATACACCTGGGTCAGGGCCACTGGCCGCCACCCGCTGTCACGCCGGCCAGGCCAGGGGCTGCCCGTTGCCACGGAGACCTCACCATCTCAGTGGACTCTTCTGAGTCCTCTAGATCTCAGGGTCTTCTGAGATGGGTGTGCCAGGCCCCCACCCATGGCTGCCCTCCCAAGGCCGCTTACCAGCCTGGCCCTGGGCACCCGGGTCCCTGTGGCCTGCTCGCTGCCGTCCGTCCTCCCTGGCTGCCGGCAGCCTCAGCAGCTTGCTAAAGAGACGCCGAAAATAGCCCCCAGCACAAGTGCCTTCGCTCCCGCGACAGGTGTGTTACTAAGTTAGATGCACACGTGTCCCAGCCGAGGTGCAGGGCCCACGCGACACCCCAGGCTCCCCAGCCTTACAGCTCGGCGGGGTCAGCGGAGATGGAGGAACCCCTAACAACCCTGTGTGCCACCCTCTCCCTGCTGAGGGGCCAGACTGTTGTTATCACAGCAAGAACTACACGGCCATGTGGACAGCCACAACACGGTGCAAGCCCGGGTCCAGCACGGCCCAAGATGATGACAGTGAGGAGGACGAGGCCCAGGTCCTCATACCCTCCTCCTCCCAGAGCCCAGGGCAGGGGTCCTTACTGAGTCACATGGGGACGGGACTCTGCGGTCAGCTTCACTTCCTGGACCTTGGCGTGGCCCGGCATTTTGGTGGAACTGACCACTAGGGCAGACAGCCTCAGGACACACAGCTATGCAGTGATTAGGCCCCAGCATTAACCCCACAATTGGCTTGTTTTGAAAAGTGAGCCTGGCTGAAGTTTACGTGCCAAGGTCAGAGTAACTTGCACCCAAATTCCATTCCCACAACTAAAACCTTCAGACCAGAAAGACAGTGTTCTAATCACAACTATATATTTTGTCTATTCTCTTCCTAATTTGAGAATACTTTGTCTTGTCCTTTATGAGCCTTGTTTACATTCATCTCCATAGAAACTACACATAGCTCTCCTTTAGCCCAACCGATTGCCAATAAAAATCAGTGCCTGGGACTGGCCAGGGCCTCTGTGGGCTGCACTGGCATTGGCCAACCTCGCCCCCACCTTCTCTCTCAGTTCTGTCTTTAGTTTTATTTCTCAGGCCTACGTCATATGCTGGGCAGGGTACTGGAAACTGACCACTGGGGTCTCTGGGACAGGAGTGTGATCACAGGGATAGCTCACAGGTTACCCTCCCTGCTCAGGGTAGGTCTGCTGTACTAAGGTAAACTGAGGCACAGGCTGTGGCCCTACCTCCCCCAGGTCGCCCTGCCCAGAGGAGGAGGCACCAGGGCCCTCAAGTGGCTGATCCTGATGTGCCCTGCCCAGCACCACTGTCCCTCTGTCCTCACAGCCACGGGAAAGCGGCTTGGGAGGCATCACTGTCCAAGGCCACAGTCTGGCCGGTCCTGCACCCAGGCCCTGCTGCTCTCTGAGGAGCGTGGGACATAACAGCGCTTCCCGCAGGCCGGCGTTCTTGTTATTTTACTCACAGAGGCAGACCATGGACCACTTTAAGCAGCCGTGGAAACGGCCGTGGGGCAGAGACGTCGCAGGCCCGTCCTCGCCATCTGTAAGCCAAATAAGAAGAACACGCTGTCAGGAGGTGACCACGGGCCGGGCCATGCCCCTCTGGGCCTCAGGTTTCTCATCTGGAAATGATGGGGTTGGATAGGGTGGTTTCTGAGGCCACTTCCATCAGGACCCTCAATTCTTAGAAAGCCCTCTTCTCAGATGGTGCCTGGGGTCCCCGCTTTGATCCCCAGGCCTAAGTTGTATGTTAGTGACAGGCTCAGGTGTGGTCTCCAGCACGGAGCCCAGGGCAAGTGCCTTGGGGAAGAGAGCATCACACGGGAGGGCAGATCTGAGGTGACCAGTGGGGATTCTGTGAGCAGACAGGAAGCCCCATCGGGGCGGGGGGCAGTGTGGAGACAGCCCAGGAAAGGGCTCCAGCCCTAGACAAGCATGGCCTGGGTCCTTGCTCCTTGTGTTCCTCCAGGCTGTGCTGCCTCAGCCTCCCTACCCACCTTCCCAGCCACGTGTGGCTCAATGCCAAGATCAGCTGTGCCAGGGTGAAGTCTAGGCCAGGAAAAATGCAGCTACAAGCCCAGGGTCAAGGTCAATCTTGCCAGCTTGGCTCGAAGGCGTGCAGGCGGCTATAGAGGCATGGCTGAGGCTGCTGCCAGCCAGGTGGGGTGCAGTGACCCTCAGGCTCTCAGGGAAACAGGTGGTTCAGGGACAACACTAAGGCCACCTCAGAGGATGCCAGACCTCAGGTGGACGTGCTGGCCAAGCCAATGGACAGCGCTGCCCAGGAGGAAGAGCCACCATCTCCCAGGCTCCGTGCTCTGTGTACAGTGCTGGGACTCCCACAGGAAATGCGACCCCAGGTGGACGAAGGGGCGGGGAGATCATGGGCCACAGAGCCACACACAGGCTCCCTCCCATCTGCTCCATGGCCTCACAACAGCCACATCTAGCCAGAACACCGCCAACACCTGGGGCATGCAGGCTGGGGCAGAGCGCCCTGCTCCTTCCCCTGGTTCTCTAGGCATGGGGCCTGCCCTCGCCCCCCGGGGCGGCCCGTCCTCAGTATCAGCTCCTGTCCCTGGCTCAGGTGCCAGCAGTGACAGCATCCACAGTCAACAGCCTCCCCTCCACCTGCTGCACCAGTTCAAATGGGAAGGTGGCCTGTCACCACTCAGTGAGGACAATGGTGTGTGTGCGGCCCCAGGCAGGCCCGGAGGGACACGCCCTCCCGCCAGATGCCCAACTGGTGTCCCATTCTGGTTCCACTGCACGTGGGGCCAGGGCCCAGCCCGATCCTTCGGCACAGGAAGGTGGAAGCCCAAAGCGAGGTGAAGGTGTGGACGGTGCCAGCTGCGAGGTTCCTACACAGGCCTCATAACCTATATACCAGCTGTGGCCTCAGCTGGGAGCGAGTGGCACCCTCCTGTCCACCTCCAGCAGGAGACAGGCCCAGAGCTGAGACTGCTAACCTGGTACGAGGCTGGCCTTGCCCTTGGGCCACTCAGCAAGTCATCCTGTGGGCAGAGCTGGGGCAGCCCAGCTTCTTGGCCTGGTGGAGACGAGGTCACCCGAGGGGCCCAGGCACAGCCATCTGCCGTGAATGTTGGGGTGGAGCTCTGTGGATGCTCCCACTCATCCCTGAAAATGCTGGGCCACACTCAAGCCTCTGGCCTGGTGCACTGGTCCACCCTTCCCGAGTGCTCAGAACCCCAGGCCTTGGAGTCACGGCCTCAAAGGAAGGGCTCCCTCAGTAGCTGTGGGACAGGGCCCGCAGTGCCTACTCTAGGCCAGAATCACTGGAGCGAACCCACCACTTCTGAGTGGTCTGCCCTTCCATGCCCAGCGGCCCTGCCCCAGAAGTCCCGCACGGAGCCAACACCCGGGGCTCCTGCAGTCACCTAGAGCCCATCAGTGTCACAGCTCCTTAACTCTTGTGACCCCCGTGGCTCCCATGAGGCAGGAACCCTGGATGCCCTGTCTACGGATGAGGACCCCAGCAGGCCAGAGGTTCGAGCATGCCCAAAGCTACACAGCCAGACAGTGCAGCAGGCTCCTAGCCATGAGGACACTGCCAGGGCCAATCACAGCTTCAAGGCTACTCACATGTGTGTGGCGTGAAGGAGGGTGGGCGCGTGGCCCCCTGGGCTGCAGCGGGTGGCGGGGGTGGCATGCTGGGGGGCGTTGCCCGGGGCTGCGTCTTCACCTCAGCCGGGGAGTCAGGCATTGCTGCAGCCTTCTCTGTCCTGTCCACTGGGAGAGGGAGAGAAGTGAGGGCAGGCAGCTGGCTCTACCTCTGCCCAAGGAGCCCCAGGTGCCTCGCAGACATGGCCTGCAGGTGACCTCAGCAGAGCCACCAGGTGGGCACCTGGCTCTGGCCTCCTGCACATGGTGCTGTGGCAGACTGGAGGCAGGTTCGGGAGTTTAGCGGGACACAGCCCCCACCCCGGGAGGCTCTGAGTCCCCACATCCCAGGCGGCACCCCCCAGGTTTTCTGATGCTGAAAGAACAGGGGGCATTTGGGGGGGTACAACCTCTGTCATCCCCCTGGGGACGCTCAGGACACCCTGGGTGCTCTCGGCCTGGACTGTGTCATCACGGGCCAGCAGGAGGCGCTGTTGTGCGATTCTGTGGCTCAATCCTGTCCCTCAGGCTTGGGGTGTGGGGAGTGGGCTGGGTGGGCCAAGGATGGGGTGGACTGGAGTCCCCAAGCTCACCGGGTTGCCCTTGCAGGAGGGCTGAGAGCCTGTGGGTCATATTGAGGTCACCACACCAGCCAGCTGGGGCCCAGCTCCTTGGGACACAGTGGGCCAGTCACCCACCAAGCTGTGGGGACACAGCAGATGGAGCTGGGGCCTGGGAGCTCCATGTCTGTCAGCCATCATGGCATCACCCGCTGCCCGCAGCTCCATCCCAGTGCCCAGGCACCACCACATGGCTGCAGAGGCACACAAAGGTCTGGGCCCCTCAACCCTGGGGCTGGTGACCCATAGGACACAGGCCACGACCCCTGCCAACACCATGCAGGCCCATCCTCCCCGCCCTGCTGGCAGGGAGAGGATGGATCAGAGACCTGGGGACAGCCCTGCCCTAGCCACCATGCTCAGCCCGGCACCTGCCACCTTCAGCTGCAGTCTCTGGCCTCCCTCCCGCTGGGCGCCTCCCCCACCGCCTGTCCCAGGCTGACGGCTGGGCGCATGTGTGGCTGCAGCTGTGGGGACCTGTCAACACTGTGCCTGCTGCAGGGCCAGGGGCTGGGCCTGGTGACAACCAAGAAGGCAAATGCGCCAGTGTGCCCGAGGGGAGCAGTCCAGCTCTGCCACCCTCATCTGACGGGGCCGCGGCAGACGGGGCAGGGCCAGGTGCTTCAAATGCCAGGCTGGCTCTGGGTCACAGGCCGGGGACACTGGGGACACCGCTGCGCAGGTTTTCCAGATCCCTTCTGCAGAAGGGGCTCGAGAACCAATTCAGATGTGAACAGAGGAGCCAGGCTGGGAGCGGTGGGAGCGCAGAGCACATGGCAAGCAGCTAGGAAACCAAGGGGACAGGCCACACCCGTGCCATTTGGCGCTTGCTGGGCTCCACCTGTGTCCACGGTGTCCCAGACACCGAAGCTGGGACACACGGTGCCCTGCTGCTGCCCAGTGACAGGCAGGGATTTGATGTCCTCCCTGTGGCACAAAAGGAACGTGCGGCAGGCCAACCTGTGCATGTTGCCATGTGCGGCCTGTTCCCGGCACTCCCTCTGTCTCCACGGACACCCATGGGGTTGCTACTACGCACAGCCCTTTTCCTGGGGGGTCGGATCCACCTGCACACAGCAGCTGGGATTTGAAGCCCGACCCTGTGCTGTCTCTTCAGGCCTCGTGGCCCCTTACTGCTCCCAATGCCCTTCCCCTTCAAGGGCTCAGATTCTTGTGGCGAGGAGGCTGAGGCTGCAGGGCAGGAGCTCTTGGTCTGGAAAAGCTTGCAGGGCGCTGGTGGCACCGCCCCAGCCTGCCCAGCCCCGGGCTGTGGTCACGGGGCGGCTGTGGACAGTGGGCTGCATCATGTGAGCCTTGGCTGAACTTTGAGTGCTTGGGTTGAGTCCCAAAGTCACAGCCCTGGATACTCTGGGCATCCTGACCACCTTGGGGAGTTAGCCAGAGATGGGGGTGTGGTGACCCTGGATGCGGGTGGGGGATACTGGGGTGTCCAGGAGGCACAGGGGACATGGCCCCAACAAGGGTGTCCCTCCAACCATGTCAGCACCGAGGGAGCAGGCTGTGTCCCCGCAGGTCACCTCCATGGGGGCCCAGGACCCCGCTCCACACACAGGAGGTAGCATGGGTCCTTAAGGGGCAGGGCTATCTGTTACCAGATGCGGAGGTCCTCAGTGGCCAGCGCTCGGGGCCTCCAGTGTCACATCCCCTCCTGGCTGGGGGGGCCTGCTGGATGGCTGTGTGACCTGGCACAGAAGTAGGGCACAAGGTGAAGGCCTGGGGTCACGAGGAATCCCCCAGGGAGCCCCAGCCCCTGCAGAAAAATGCATGTCCAGCCAGGCCTGGTGGAGCAGACTGCCATCCAAGCACTGAAGCTGAGGCAAGAGGATCGCAAGTTCAAGTCTAGCCTAGACAACTTGATAAGACCTTGTCTCAAAGTGAAACTTAAAAAGGACTGCGGATGTAGTTTAGTGTGAAGCTTCTGGGTTCAATCCCTAGTACTGAAGGAAATAAACAAACATCCCCTACAAACAAAAACTACATTCAGGACCAGGGATTTAGCTCAGTGGTGCCGAGAGGCAGGCAGGGAGCAGGGCTGGGCCAGCACTCAGGGGCCCCTAGTCCCGGGGTGTGTGGGCGCCACCCCCAGCCTGCTTGTCTCTGCCAGAGAAAGTTCCCAGGCCCATGAGCCTCGCGCCTAGGGGAGCCCATGCCTTCCCACACAGCCTGGACCCCTCCCAGCCTGTACTAAGAGGGTGTGGGTGGTGGGAAAGGGTGGACCTCGCCAGAACAGCCAGGCTACCACCATCCATCACTGTCCCATCTCAGTCCCCCGGGAACTGGCCCCAACTCGGCTCCCAGACTGATCCAGAGCCCTCCAAGGTGGCCTGGCTTCACTGCAGTTCCTGCTGTAAACACAAGGCCCCCAAGCCCCGAAGCAGAACTGGGCAGGGGCACAGATCTGGTCCTCACTGTCAGGCCCCACCCACACTCCACAATGGCCACCTCATTCCTCTTCTCCCCACCATGGATCTGTGAGGCTGACAGGTGGGGAAACTGAGGCACAGTGGGTGGAGGCCACTGGATGGGCAGGGACTCTGAGGGCTTAGGCCAGGACTGGGCCTGGGCAGGGCAGCCCCACCTCCCCACGGTGGCTGTGCATGCAGCCGCCCAAGCAGAAGGCTCCAGGCCACACCCAGGATGGTGCTGTGCTTGACTAGCTCCCTGACCCTGGTGGGATGGGCCGGCTCTGGATGTGCAGACCTGGTGGGCAGCCTGTTTCCCTGTCTGTGGGCTGGGGATGCAGAGTGAGGTTTAATGCACACAGTCCCTCATGCCCGATGGCACCTGGGGACAATGGATAGACACCTCCTGGGCTGTCCTCCTCCACTGAGGACTTCCTTGTGGAAAAGTACAGATAAGAGGAGGGAGGTTGCTAGGGCAAGGCCACCCCACAGCCATGTGACCCTGAGGTCACCACCAGGCTGAGCCTTGAGGATGTGTCCCGGAAGCCAGACCCCTCCTGTCCTCCCTCATTCTGCCTCTGTGGCCATGCTGGGCTCCCACGGTCCCTGTGTCCACCCTCTGGTCTGTTACACCTTTGACAATTTCCTCAGAACCACAGCCTCCCAACTCGGGGTCTGCACCACGTTTCCTTATAATCTCACGGCATCTCTCTCTCTCTAAATCAGCTCCAGAGGGCTGGGCTTTGTGTCACCCACGGCCATATCCCCAGCAACCACGCCAGTGTTGGGCACAGCAGCTCAATGAACACTTGTTGGTCTATGGCCACGCGAGGCCACAGACCAACCTGCCCACAAGGGACTATCCAGTGTCCCAGCCAGGTCCTCTTCAGCCATCCCTGTGAAGGTCTGGGGACCAGGTCCAGCCCTCCAGGACAGAGACAGGAGGCCCCCATACTGGCTGGGGACCCCAGCAGAAGTATAGTTACTGCTGTCGAAACTGCCGAGGGGCAGGGTCTGCTGATATGTGGGTGGGGGGAAGGCACTGACAGGGACAAGGGCTCCACGACCAAGTCCATGTGGCTCCTGCCTCATCCCAGGTGCAGTGCACCTCTCCATGTGGCAATTGGGTCTGTGCAGCCTCAGACGCCTCCCTGCTGCCCAGAACACAGTGGGTGCCCCACCCAGGGAAAGACGGGATGTGGTGGGACATTCCCACAGCAAGGCCGCCGTGTCCTGTCTCAGTGCCCACAGATGGCTCCGCAGCACCCCTTCCATCCTCACCCCAGGAACCCCAACTTCCTTGAAAGCCCTGCGCCAGCCCAGGTGAGCACTGCCCCATGCACAGCAGGACAGGTGAAGCGGCCCATGGGCTCCCACATGGGTCCCTGCTGGGCCATGCAATGGGGACGAGGTGAGGCCACAGTTGGCCTTGGACACAGCAGGGCCAGCTCAGGATATGGGCTTTGCATGCCCTGAGCGCTCAGCGCCACTAGCCTTGTAGGGATGTGGTCCTGCTTCTGTGGTCCTGGGAGGGACCCTGGAGGTGCGGGGTGTGGGGGCACCAGGGTCTCCATACCTCAGGGTGGCCCCAATACTATGCTGCTGTTTGTGGGGACACCCTGTCTTTCTCCAAGGCCACTGAGTAAGCAGGTGTCGAGGCCACCCAAGTGCTCCCTGAGTGCCTCGCGTTCGTCCTGGAGGTGGCATGGTGGGGTGGGGCCAGCCCTATCCTTGGCACCCTGAGCGGCCTGGCATCATCGGCCCCTGTACTGAGGGCCATCCGTGCTCTGTGCACCCCATCCACACCCCTGGCAAAGCCACGTGGTGCTCAAGCCCAGAGACTGATAGGGAAACTAAGGCACAGAGTGGAGACATCACTTGGCTATCGCACCACAGCCCTGGTGCCTGCCTGCTTCACGGCCATGGCGGGGTCAGGCCTCAAGACACAGGTAGTGGCAAGCATGTCCAGGCCCAGAGGGTACACTCGCCTGGCCTCAGACCTGGCTGCCAGGCAGGAACCTGGAGCACAGCCCTTCTGCCACAACAGGGACCTCCAAACCATCCCAAGGGCCGTGGGCCCCTAGGG